ATAAAATAAATAAATAACATTTTGAACAAAAAGCTGAAAAAAGATTATGAATTGGATTCAGAGTGATAATCAAAACGTAGATGGAGTCGATCAACACCCCAAAGCTTGACAGTCATTACCTATTCATGGGTCGACATTTTATTCCATAACCTTACACAGTTTTGATGCTGTTTTATGTCTGGGGCCTGTACCATGAAGCCAGATTAGCTGGCTAGCCAGGTACATTTCAGTTTAGTTTGCGCCAATCCTGGGTTTTAGGTACCATGAAAGTGGCTTGGCTTTTAACGGCCTTCATTGCCTTGGTAACTTACACTCCACGGCTAACCTGCTCCGGGGCAGGTTATGTTCTGGGTAAGAGATCTCAAACTGAAATTGGACCAATCAGATGTGAGCAAAGTGACACATGTCTGACGCAAAGAAGTCACTCCCCCAGTTTCTCTTGCTCCAAATTAAAGGTCACTAGTACTAAAAAAAATAATAATAATTGTCTGGGTTTAATGATAATTACTTAGTTATTTTATATGATTTATATAATTATATGATTTATATTATTATTAATCCATTACACACAAGCACTTTTAGTTTAACAGTTATTATAAATAATTTATTTTAAATGAATGTTAATATATACAGATTGTATGTATAAATAAGCTGTAGAATCAATAGATAACGCTTTTTAAAAATGACTACATGTGACCTTACATGTTCGAATCTATATTGCTGTATATTTTCAACTATATACACTAACTTAACAAGTTTCACTTGTGACTGCACTGATAGAGCAAGATCATTTATTTTATTTGTCCACTTTCATTAAAAAGTACGTTTTTTAAATTGTAAATGCATTTCAATTCATCACATTCTTCAATCTCTTAACCTTTAGCAAAACCTTAACCTTTAAGCAAGGCTCGTCATTGGCTGTTTGCCAGTGATGTCATGCATTCATGTACACATGCTCCACAAACTCAGGATCAAAGCCTGAGTTGACAAAGAAAGTTGATGATCAGCATCATGGTACCAACAAAGCCGGATTGGAGTGGTTTGGTTTTGTCAACTCGAAACTAATCCTGTAGCTCTGTATTTGTTCAACTACCATCATGGCACAGGCCCCTGATCATGTTAGATTACATGTGGAAGCATCTGTTGTTTTGGTTTCTTCTTCGCTTGTGTTTTGGAAATTCTGTACAGAAGGTGTATAATAGCGCCCCTACCGGATAACAATGAAAACATGGATTCCCGAAGCATAAGTATCGCTCAAATATATTTAGACTTTTTCTAAGTATAGAATGTCATTTTAAGTATATTTCTAAAGGGGTCATATGATGCTGCTAAAAAGAACATTATTTTATGTATTTGGTGTAATGAAATGTGTGTATGCGGTTTAAAGTAAAAAAAAACACATTATTTTCCACATACTGTACATTATTGTTTCTCCGCTATGCCCAGCCTTTTTGAAATGCGTCGATTTTTACAAAGCTCATCGGTCTGAAAAAGCGAGGTGTGCTGTGATAGGCCAGCTATCCAGTGCGTTATGATTGGCCGAATACCTCAAGCATGTGACTGAAATGTTACGCCCCTCACATACTTTGATGCCCTGTCTGGCCAGAGCGACGAGACATAAACATTAAAACCCATTACAAACGAGGCATTTGTTGCATCCAGTGGGGACATAATTACTGATTATAATGACTTATACTGTCTTTTTACGCGTTGCGTTGCATTGCATCGTGCAATAAACATAAAACTCTGTCTGCATTTGTGATCGGAGTTTGAATCATCAGTGGCAATGAAAAACACAGCGGCCTAGTTTTGGGCGGCATTATGCAAATCTTCCCAGATCTTTACGTAGGTATGTGGGGGCGTGTTAGAATGAGCCGTTTTAGGTAGGCGTGGTTAACTCTTAACTTTTATAAAGAATATCTCTTTGGTTTTGAGACTTTAGTGTTTGCAACTTTACAGATCTTCTTTATGCACCAAGAACTTGTAACACTCCAAAGAGAAAGGAAAAATTTAAATCACATCATATGACCCCTTTAAAAGAAGTATACTAATAGCACACTTGAATAAACTTCTTTTTCATAAGGGTAGTAAACCAGTGTTTCTTAACTCTAGTCCTTGGGACCTATATACCAGAAGGTTTTAGATGTGTTACTAATTAAAACACATAATTCAACTCATCAGTTTGTTGGTTTCTTAAACAGGGAGACATCTATAACCTTCTGGGAGGAGCTGAGAAACAAAAGTTAAAGTAACTCACAATCAGAATGACAAAGCAAAGCATGACTCAAAAATATCTGACTAACCAGTTTGGGTTCCTTTTTGGCAACAGCCTTCAGGGCCAAAATTGCACCCATTTGAACTCTCATGGGAAACAGAGGTATTTGGTTCCCAAATACTGGTAGAAACTTTGTGATGTATTTAATGCTAGCAGGGTGACCGGCATTGCCCAGCACTTTCAGAATCAAAATCATCTCTGAAGTGTTAGCTTTAGCAGTCGCCTTGATAACAATCTCATGGAAGGGCTTGAAAAAAAGAGGAAGTTGTCCACATTCCAAACAAAGTCAAGCAAAACAATTAGTGAATTATATTTTTTACCTTCAAAAGCTCCACTGGGCATTCAAGAGATCCACTGCAGTACCTGGCAATCATTGTCCCATAGCCAAGCATGGCAACCTTACGTAGAACAGGTGTTTCTTGAACTTTGTGACTCAAAGCTAGACCCTTTTTTGATTATAACATTTATAGAACAAGTTCAGACAATATTTGGCATGCTAAATAAGTGGTTTAAGCTTTGAGTCAATTATCACATACGAGTGTACGCACAGAGTACATCTTAATGGTGTCCAAATTAGCAGTGACCATATGCACAGTGGCCAGAAGGACCTGAGTGAACTCAGGGATGGAAAGTTCGCCTGCCAAGAATGACTTCTTGACGAATTTTAGAGCAGCTAAGGTGCCAACTGCAGGAACAGCATCTAAGATCCATTTCCTTAGAGGAGTAAAAATGAGTGACAATTTGCAAATAAATGTTTTAGACTGTTAAAGTGAATATTGAATATTTGTACCTGAAATTTGGTCTGGTTTTAAATTGAGACCAGATTCCCTCAATAGCATCCAGACTTGCAAAACGCATAAGCTGGATGAGCTGAATAAATTTCAGTGGAACATCTTCATGGACCTCTTCCAGTTTTTTGGTAGCCAGATGATTCAGAGCATCTACTACCTTAACGAATACCAGTAAAACAAAAAGAGAGAATTAAAATACTACTATAATTTAGGATAAAAACCTAACAATGCAGTCAATATATTTAATGTATAACAATAATAATAATATGAAATATGTCCTTACTTGAGCCTGTGGATTACTGATTCTCATGAGCTGAATTGGACTCCAAAGTGTCTCAGTGCTAAATTCATACTGTAAAGCTCCACGGGCTAAATATTCAGCACTGATTGGAATTATGGGAGATGCCATCATCTCCAGGAAGGTCAAGGTTTGTCTGAAATATTGAGTATATACTTGGGTTACCACATAAAAAAATGAAAACACAGATATACTTAATTCCATACGAGAGTGCATGAGCAAACGTCTTGCCTAGTTTCCATCTGGGTAGCGTCATGAATCTCATATAGATTTGTAAACTGATGAATCTCTTGGACTGTTGCTTCAGTAATCATAACACCAGTTGGTGTTGGCTTCATGATGTAGCTGTAGATTGCAGCTCCAGAGAGACTTTTTACCCTCTGTTAAATTATATAGTATATTTGAGTTTTTTAAGGTAACAGACCCTCTCTCAGTTGAAATCCCGGAATCTAAAGCATTGAGAAGAAAATATGACATGAAAATTTTGACCTGACCTTTTGACATTCAGTGCACTTTTCAATGTAAGTCAAGCCAACATCTTTAATTATCCTCTCATTGCAAAGTGTAAGATCCCTAGACTTGGTGATGGTGGTGTGGTTGCTTCCTTCATCTTCACTGATCAGATATTGGGTCTCGCAAATGCCTTGAACTCCATCCTACATCAGAATGAAGAGTCAGGTTTAATATCAAGATGCATATTATTGATAATCAAACTTCATTTCAGCCAGTCTCACCTCTTGAACCTGATAGATGTTCTGGGTCTTCTTGAGGTTGAGATGAAAGATGTTCAGAATTCCCCTGTGCAGGTTGATAACGGTAGTTGGGACCACAGAAGGTGCGAAAACCTTTCCAACCACACCGTTGGTGTACTCAAACTTAATAGGAATCTGAAGCTGAGCAGCCACTTCTGAGGTGAGCTTAGTAGCAACAAACGCATCTGTGGGCCAGATACCACTGTACTCGAACAGCTGAGGATTTGAGAGCTGAAACAAACAGGCAAACTTTGCATGATTATGTGCTTCTTTCCAATTATATCTCAGGTCAGTAACAGAACAAAGCTCCATGTTGTCTTTAAACTCTTCTGGCACCTTAAGCAGGAACGTATTCTCAGAAACAGCCCTGATGGAAACCTTGCTGTTGATCTTAATGCCAGCTTTGGCCAGACCTTCCTGGTGAAGACCACTGAAGAGCAAAGCCTCATATTTGTACACATAAGTCTGAGTGCCTGCCAAATCAGGAACTAAAAGTGCAAAATAGCATTTTAGATAAGTCACATAGTAAAATCTTATTTTGCCATTGGTAAACACACTAGTAGAATGATTAACCACTTTGCTTACCAAGATTCACATGCTGACTTGCTGAAATATCAGAGAAAGTTTCATGTTAATTTAATATAAAGTCCTACAGTGTCTATTTTGTCAAATTATGATATTTTTATCCATGCAAATGGTGACATTTAAAACAGCATTGCAGGCTACTTACCCACAAGGGCTATAGTCAAGGCCATAACAGTTCTCATGGTCAGCGGTTGTGCAAAAACACCATGTCCGTTTTAAAGTCAAGCTTTTGCTGGCAAAATACTGATCTCAAAATGTATGATTAACCAGTTGTTTAGCAGAACCAACCAATTGTGTTCCTACTCCCGCCAGCTCATTGGTCTAACAGGACAGTCCAGGGTAACCTGGACTTTAGTGCTTGACACTGATATAAAAATGGTAACTATAAAAAAAAAAATCAGATGTGAAGCAGAGGCATCAGGCATCTGACTGCATATTATACCGCCTGTTGCATTTCTACTTACCAAAAAACAAATGAATGGACATCAAATATTGATTTGTACTGCAATTATTTTATTATGCAATTAAAAAGAGTGATACATGAGAAAACCACAGTGTAGGAGCTTCTTGTTACCTGTGTATCTGAAGCACAGAATTAAAGTACTATAAAGCTGAGCTTAACAGTGAATTTGAGTGACATTGAAAATAAAAACTTGATATAATGGCACTCTAGTCTGTCTGTGAACAGTTTCCCACCGTTGGTGGCATTAATATCGTATCATTCACGGTTGATCAAATTCATTATGATTACCTGTAACAGTAAGAATGACTCCAGGTGATCCAGAGTATTTGCCGTTTGTCGTGTTAGTGATGAACCTGAATCGATATTCTCCAGAGTCGCTGATCTTGAGCTCTTTGATTCTCAGTTTGTTCCCCACATACTCCACACGACCAGCAAACTGATGCTCCTCACGCAGATCCTTAAAGTCACCAGGCCGAACGTAATGCCAGAATGTTTTATATACTGTATAACCAGAGGGATGTGAGTATGTGCAGGAAATGTCTACTGTTGAGCCCACCAAAGCACAGACTCTTCTAGAGGTGTAAATCACATCCCAGCAGCCACTCTTAGAAATGCCTGAAAGAGACACAGATTAACATGCAAAACTCACAGTTTAAATGTATCTGTTTAAATATACACATGTATGAACAAACAGCACCACACTGTGTGTATTATGTGAAACTCACACACAGAAGAGGAGGGATGTTCATTATGTGGATAAAGAGAACAGGAAAAGCTGCCAGCATCTCTGCCGACTGACACAAACATGTTGGGGGACTGTGTATATCTGAAATACTGTCTATTCTTCATCCAGTAATAGTGAACTCCAGAGGTCAAATCACAGGAAGAATCACAGATCACTTCTACTGTCTCATCTCTCAGGTCTGTAGATGCAGGATTCATCCTCACCTGCAAGACTGAATAGAGTAAAGATTAAGAAAACTTCATCACATGTCAAATGAAAACAGCTGAATCTCAGACCAGAATCTCGATTCAGTTTCACCTGTGACTGTTAGACTGACGGCCACTGAGCTGAGATGTTTAACTCCATCATTCATGATGAACATGAGCTGATATTCTCCAGAGTCTCGCTCTCTCACGTCTGATATTGTGAGATCTGATTGGTAATTACTGCTGATCTGTTTCACCCGTCCTGAGTAGTCTGAGTCTAAAGTCAAATCTTCAGGTTCTTTGTTTTTTCTCCAGTTTGTACTTTGTTTCTCACTGAACCAGAACACAGTGTTGATTTTGGAGTGAACGCACCTCAGTGTCACTTCTGTTCCCTTCACAGCACAAATACTCTGTTGACTACAGGTCACAGCGAGGCGGTCTAATGTTACTTGGCCTGAACAAGAAAATATTATTGAGATGAAACTTACATACAGTCAGAGGAAAGATCCTCTACTGCAACAATCCAGTGTTCATAATAGCAAATAATACTAAAATAATAGTGCATCCAGACTGATGAATCTGCTTCTGAAATATATATATATATACATCCAATCCATTTTTAATGAAAAAAGTATAAGTCATGTGAGTTACTTTAGACCAAAATTCAGACTG